TTATTAATAGACATCACCATCTTTATGGTATTTAGTTTAAACACAAAGCTTTCAAAAGCATTTGAGTTTGCTATTCAAATACATTTTTATACAGAATGACAAGTTTAAATTATATAGAGTATTCTGAAAAAAATCATTAAGTAGTCTGGGATGTATAAGAAGCATATGATCTATACAATGATTTAAGCAATGGACTTTAATACAAAGAATTACGAGCACTAATAAGAGTAACTACAAGACATAAAATGAATTAACTCCCTATGGTCCTACAGCTGAGAGAGTACGTAGGGAACGACAAATTTGGAAAGTGAGCTTGTTTCCTAAGCAAACTTCAACAGAGAAGGCATAATTGAAGCCTACTGGATGGCAGGGATGTTCACTTGGTTATCTATCCCAGTGGTGGTCCACAAAAGGACATGAATAAAGCAACTATACAAGCCGGATAGTCAACAGCTGGGCATGTGGACACACATGAGGAGTTGGGGTGTCACAAGAGGCAGGCGGCCTTCTGTGCCTAATATCCATCCTACAGTGGCAACAGGGGACAAATATGAAGAGGAGATGAAGTAAAGGAGTCAGGGTGCCCATTTACAGAGGGCCTCCTTCATGTTGGAAAGGCCATAAGAAGATGATGACCAGTCTGGGACACGGCTCTGAGGCTGCTGAGCATCTGTATTTGCAGACACAGATCACCTGCCCTGTTGACCAGTGAGACAGTAGAAAAACCCTCCCTCCTACAATGTCTTTTCTGTGCTCTCAATCAAGAATGTTTAACAGTATCCTCACAATCAATGAGAAACCTTTAAAGGAGCTGATCTTAGTGTCAAAGGGGAAGTAACAAATGGAGAATTTGGAACTCAAGGGCAATAAATTGGTAAGTGGGAGAGAACGGTTTATAGTGTACCAAACATTTAAAGAGTATTATCTGCTATTTCAAACTCAGTTTAGAAGTTAGACATATGCTTAAAAAATCACACACAGGGCCAGGGATATAGCTCAGCTGCACAGCGCCTGCCTAGAAAGCAGGAAGCCAAGTGAGATTCCAGGGTGGGGGGGTGGTAAAGATCACACAATATCTTAAGTACAGACCAATATCCCTTATAAATAAAGATACAAAACATCTTAACACAATATTAACAAAACAAATCCACTGACAGAGAAATGGTTACATCTTGATCACATATAATTTACTCCCAGGATAAGAAGCAGGTTCATCTCATAAAATCAATCAATATAATAACATAATATTAAAAGAATAAAGGATAAAAACATGATGTCAATGGCAAGGGATTTAGTTCAGCGGCATAAGCGCTTGCCTGGCAAGAGGGAGGTCGTGAGTTTGATACTGGTACCAAAAACAAAGAAAAAAAGACAAACAACAACAAAAAAAATGATGTCAAAACTCCTTAATCTACTGAAGGCCATAAAAAAATTCTAACTAGCTTTTGGCAGAAACTGACAAGCTGACCCTAAAATGCAAATTGAAATACAAAGAACCCAAAACAGTAAGAGACAATTTTCAAAAAGAACAAAGCTGGAGGGCTCATATTACCCAAATTCAAGATTTATTAAATAGTTACAATAATCAGTAACGTATGGATAGACATTTAGATCAATGAAATTGAGAACCTATAAGCTACTCTGAACTAGTAATCAATTTACTGCTTCTCAATTTCACATTCAGCCTTCCTAAGTTACAGAACTGAATTCCTTTAACATTTCTCTTACATTTATAGTCAGCTGACTTGACAAAGCCATTAAAACAATTTAATGGGTTAAGTACAGTTATTTCAACAAATAGTGCTGTGAGGACTGGATATTCATATGCAAAGGGATGACACTGGATACCTTTCCCACCCTTTGGTAAAAGAAATAAAACATCTAAAAGTAACAGCTAAAGCTATAAACGCTTGAAAGAAAGAGTAAGTATGAACCTTAATGACCTTGAATTAGACACTACTTCCTTAGATATAACACCAAAAACAGAGCAACAGAAGAAAAATTAAGTTGGACTTCAAAATTCAAGTTTGCATTCAAAGAAAATGAGGACAACCTGCAAAATGGCAGAAAATATTTGCAAATCATGTAAGAACTTGTACCTAAAATATATAAATAATAACCTTAAGTATGCAACTAAATTTTTAAAATACAGCTCTATTAAAAAACAGGAGAATTGGGGATGACAATATGTAATGTATGTACCACTGTTGCCCCGACTGATGTGCTTTGAAACTTGGTTGTAATTTCTTTTTTCTTCCCTTTTATCTTTGAATAAAATGGATTTTTTTAAAAAACAGGCAGAATATCCTGATAGGTATTATTCTTGAAAAGATATACAAATGGCCAGTATGTACTTGAAAATATAGTCAACATCATTAGCAACGAAGGAAACACAAATCAAAACAAGCTACAATGTGATAATACTATTTCACAATCAGTAGGATGCTATTTGAAACAAAAATAGAAAGCAAGTGACGGTGAGCACGTACAGCAACTACAACACTTATATTACTGCTGGATATGTAAAATAATGCAGCCAGTTTAGGAAATAATTTGACAGTTACTCAAAAAAATTAAGTGTAGAATTAACAAATGACCTCACAGTCCCATCCCTGAGCATGTACTTGAAATAGAAATAACATGCTCCAGTATTTATATATGCATGTATATAGCAGCACAATTAATAAAAGCCAAAAGGTGAACCAACCCAAATGTCTAACAAGTGAATTGGAGAGCAAACTGTAGTACATAAGCACAATGGACTGGATATTCAGTGACTCAGTACTATTCAGTGATAAAGAATAAATGAAACAACACATGCTATGATACACATGATTCTATACACAAAAAAGGTCACGGTTCATATGACCCCACTTACATAAAATTACTGAGACGGGTTACGGAATACCACCAGGTCAACTCTACTTAAAAGATGAGCATTTGTCTTCATTTTGGCTCAATCAGATCCTGATTTTGTGTATGGACACGTTCAGAGCTGGCCAGGATATTTCTTTATTCCCTCAGCTGGCTTTAAGCAATGCAATGGGGTCTAGCTGATATGTAGTCTTTAAAGCAGTAGGGGAAGAGGTGTCAATAAAGTAATGCGAGAGTGATGCTCAGCCTACAGCCTCCAACTAGTACGCAGGAGCTAAGTGGATCTAACCTTGATGTCTCTGGATTGCGCCCTGAGAAAGAGGCCGTGATGTCTAAGGGCATGAAGTCTACACATCAAAGCTGAAGCCCAGACCCCAAAACACAAGTATTTCCTCAAGCTGTGCTATGCAGGTTACTCTTTCTGCACACCGCTTTCTGCGTATCGTAGAGACACTATCTCACCTACATAGCCCAGCTCACAGTGCTCATGTACCTTACACAACTCTCACACACATCCCTGAGCCACTCATCTCTCCATGAAGTATAAAACCTGTGTTCAGCCCTGGGTGGAGGCCTTTGTTCTGTGAGTCACTGTTCACAGCTGCCTCAGGCTTCCCCTTACTCCCTGCTACTACACACGTGTGTTCAGTTTCTTTATCCTCACCGTGGACTGAACTGCACCAGAAGCGGCAGATTGGAATTATCTACAGGAATTTCAGTAACTCTTCCCTGGGATTACAAATGTGGACTCCTCTGGACCTCAACAAAGTTCAGAAGGGTTTTTTATAGTGATAATTGGAGATGGCAAACTGGTTGGGGAAGTGGGCATGATCTGTTAATTATGAAATTTCAGGACACACACACAGAACAGTTCCCAAAGCCCGGCACGTGGATCCAATTAGAAAGGAGCACCTTCAATTCCTCCAGAGTACTGAGCAGGTTATCAACAGGAAGGCCTACACCTGAGGTCTGCCTGCATAGTAGGAGATGTAAAACACAAACCACTGTTGAGTGCTGGATGACTATGTTCTGCTTACACAGTATCAAGCTGTAGAGTGTAATTTTTCATATGTTTACTTGGCCCAAATGTATTTTGCAAAGCCTGTTTCTTTTCCTGTCTCCAACAACAGAACACCTTACTACCTATTACACTTGTTTTGACCAACTTGTAACCAGAAGATCCCAGAGCCTGGTAATGTTGCTATGAAGAGGCAAGTCTGAAGAATGCAGATTAGCGGTAGACAGCCGCTGAGGAAAGGAGTAATCCAGTATAGTAGCTTAACAGATACAGAGGGTAGAAGGTTTTCTTCTCCCACAACCTCCCACACTGGGGACTAACCACAGGGTCTCATGCATGCTGGACCAGCACTCTATCACTGAGCTAAATTCCCAGCCTTTTCTTAAAATCTGATTTTGAAAAAGGGTCTTGTTAAATTGCCAAGGCTGGCCTCAAACCTGCATTCCTCCTGCTTCAGCCTCTCAAGGAGCTGGGACTACAAGTGGGTGCCACTATATCTGGCTATAAATTTGGTTTTTGTCACCTACCCCTTCAACCTGGTGCTACAATGCTGGGGACAGAACTCAGGGACTCTAACATGCTACCCAAGTGCTTTACCATTGAACATCTCTAACCCAAGGATTTCTTTTGAGTAATGAAAATATTTTGAAATTAGATAGAGGTAGTAGTCACAGAACATGTGATATAATCAAAAATATCCCCAACCACATGGTTAATTAGATGTTAAATATGTCCTCTCTTTCTTTTGGAGATTCACCATGCAAGTTAGCACTTTAAAGACTGTAAGAAATCCTATAGTAAAAACATTTATTTATTTTAGCATTTCTGAGAACTACTAACACTCTCAGTGAAATGATTTTCAAATTGTATGTTCAAAATCCATTGACTGAAATCAATTTAGTGACTCAGAATCTTTAAGAAATGAGTAGAACAGAAAATACTAGACCATATCACATACAGTAAAAGATAAACATTGTCATGAAGTTTTTGTTTCCATTATACTCAGTGAACTAGGACATGTTGTCAAACATATTTCTTACTGTGAGTCACCACCAGAAAATGCTAAAAATCATTTTGAATACAACAAAACAAATCTTACATGACTTACCATATTATAAAATTCCAGCTCTCTCGGGCCCCTTGGAGGTGGCTGTAACTGTTTCAACACTGTGCCATCTGGATGTTGCAGTATTCCTATGGGACAGAAATTAGACATTTAAAGCTTTAATTATAATGAACCTTGTTTCACAAAATAGTTTTTCTGAAGGACCAGGAAAACCAATTTTATAAATTTAAGGCTTACTTTTATTTCAAAAATATTAATATTAAACCCACATGTTTTAGTACTTATTGTACACAAAGCACCAGAATATAAACGCTAAATCATATAGCTTTATTGCCTCCACCATTACTCCCTGATAGCCTCCTCAGACTAAGAAATAAAATATATGTGTAAATTTTTACAGAAATTCCTCAGTAACAGACTTTTTGTGAGATACTAAGTTCTGGTTTCAAAAGTTAAAAATTATAGCACAAATAGATTCAACTTTCATAAACAAATACGTGTTAACTATCTATATAGATTAGCCTACTTGGCATAATGTATCAACTATTGTAATCATCCAATAACCTGTTTTGAAACTTGGTTTGTTATTTTTTTCTTTTCTATTTACTTCTTTAAAATTAAGTTAAAAAAATAAAAAAACAATTTCCTATTTGGTAATGTATTTTAAGTCTCTCTTATCTGTTGTAAGAAAACAAGTAAAAAATTTTCCTGATTCAGATGCACTGTGTGCAGCTCTACAAAGAGCACACGAATTATCCAGCCACCAGGAAAAGAGGGCTGAAATCAGGCACCAAACATGGAACAGAAAGAGGTACACTTTTATAATCTCTCCACACAAAGTGGAAGCCTTTTTCAAGCATCACCGTATGTATAATAACTAGCTCTATCCCTATAACCCAAACACCCATTTTTAAATTTAAATCTTAAATTTTAATGTAACCAGATTTCACAAAATCCTGCTAGCTAAAACAGAATACAATAAATAAATCTATTTAGAATTTTGATAAAATATTCCACTTGAGTTTCTATTTCTTTGTGTACATGTTAAGAATTTTTAATTATGGCAAGAATACAGAATTTAATCAACAAAAGCAATGACGATGTCTCAACTTAAGGAAGAACATCAAGTTTAAGATCAAAACAGAATAAAACGAAGGTAAGTATTAATACCTATGGATAAGATTAGTTGGTAAACAGTTAAAACATTTGAGGATGTCAATTTGTGAAGACTGGGCCTTAGAACAAGGCCTTTAGTCCTACGGTTCTGACATTCCCTTTGGAACTAAAAAGGAGTAACAGATGCAAAGGAGCCTCAATGAACAGAATTCCACAGTGCAAACAGGGGTCTTCATAAGCAAAGAAACCACAGCTGCTTCCCCACTTTGAGACAAATACCTATTCCAGATACAGATTAGACAAACAGATTTTATCAGGAAAGCAGAAGTTCCTCAAGCTATCCACAACAGTGTGGGATAGAAGAACAAATACAAAATATACTGTTAGGTCCAACAAACCTCCCAAACCACTCACTCTACAACGTTACTCTTCAAGTTTTGTGAGAAAGAGGAAAATGGGAATCTCTAAATTCCAAGATTCAAAGTAAACCAATAGTAACTGAAATTTAAGCTAAATCCTCATGCCCACCCTCACCAAGATTCAGCTTTCAAGAATAAAAAGGAGGCATCTTAGAAGGCTGACTGCAGTGCAGCATCAGTTCAGATAAAACCTAGCCGGAAATACTTATCAACTGCTCCCATAATAGAGGAAGTACATTGTTACAATTTATATCTAGATATTCCCCCAAAAAATTCTTTTCCAGGCTTTAAAGAAAATCACTGGGGTAAGACTGAAACCCAGAAAGTTACTCTCAAAGTTATGGACTATGAGGAAAGGAAATATCACTTCTCTAAGAATAAAAAACGACCCTTTTTCTCTATGGAACAAAGGTATTAAACTCTTAGGGTACCAACAGCAAGCCACATGGCCCCTGAGGTACAAGGTGAAAATCCACTGTGATTGGGGAACAGTTTAAAAACTCTAACTCTCAGGAGCTGGGGGATAGGGATTGAAGTGAAGTAAGAAACTATGCTAGGTCCTGACCTCAGATTGCACACAAAAGGCCTGATAAAGACACAAAACACAAAGTGACTATTACAGAAAGAAGGGCAGAATTCTAAATAAGCCCCTTTCCCCAGACTCAGGATCACAAAAAGACTTAAAGCCAAGAGTTAAACAGAGGTACTAAGAAAAATGCTCTGGCATGTCAGCTCCGCCCTACCATGAGATAAAACCAGAGGAATTCCAAATCCTTGGTGCACTGAAGGTGTATGAGTCACTTCCAGCTGCCATAACAAAATGCCACACAGTGTTCAGCTTCAATGACAGAAATCTATTTACAATAGTTCTGAAGGCTAGAAGACTCAGATCAAGGTGGGATAGACCAGTACCTGGTGAGGAAGCTCTTAGCTTGTAGGTCATCTCACTGTATTCTCATAAGGGTGAAAGACAGAGCAGGTCTCTAGTGTCTCCTCTTAGGACAGTCCTATGAGATCCGGGCTCTACCTTTTTGACCTCTTTTTAACCTTACTACCTCTATAAAAGCTCTATCTTCAATTAGGTGTGGAGGTGCACTCTGTAATCCCAGCAACCAGGGGAAGATGGGGCAGGAAAATTGCCAATTGGGGCCCAGCCCCAATTAGTTACTTAACAAATAAAAAATAAAAGGGGCTGAGGATGTAAACCAATCCAAAGGCCTAGGGTTTAGCATCTACCAACAAACAAACAAACAAACAACCCTATGGGCAGGAGAGAGAGAGACTTCAACATCTGAATTTATAGAGACACAAACAGTCCATACTGGACAGTAAATTTAACAACAACAAAATTCAAATCTAAATCTATTTCTAACTAAATTGGCTTAAATTACCAAAGTAATAGTAAAGCAAAAGAGGTATATATTTCAGGAACAAATATTACTTGCCTCAGTTGCTACAATTTTACTATAGCACATAATAACCACTGGAATTTCATAAAAATTACCAGACATATGAATAAGCAAGAAAACAACAATTAAGCATACATGTGTAGAAACCACTTCAGAGGTGACACTTACATGTTAGAATTCTCAGACAAGGTAACTTAAAATAACAATATGCTAAAGGTTAGAACAGTAAAGGTAGGCAACGTGCATGAAACAGTAGGAATTTTTCATTTATTTGTTGGCCGCTTGTCTGTCTTCCTCTGTAAAGTGTTTATTTCTGTTGCCCATTTCTTGACTGGGTCTTTAATTTTAGATGATTTAATTTTTTTGAGCTCTCTGTATATTCCAGGTATTAGTCTTTGGTCTGAGGAGCAGTTGGCAAAAACTTTTCCCATTCTGTAGGTTGTCTCTTCACTCTACTGATGGATCCTTTTCCTGTTCAACATCTCTGACCATGAGAGAAATGCAAATTAAAACAACTCTAAGATTCCATCTTATTACACAAAGAATGGCAATTATTAAGAAATTAAACAATAAAAAATGCTGGCGGAGGCTATGTTGAAAAAGTATCGCTCTTTCATTGATGGTGAGAATGCAAATAGTATAAACATTATGGAATTCAGTATGGGAATTTCTTAAACAACTGGAATTAGAAATTACTTGATCTACTTATCCCCACTAGGTTATCTTTCCCAAAGAGCTTATGTTGTCATACTACAGTGATACGTGCATATCAATGTTTACAGCAATACATTTTTCATAGTTAAATTCTGGAAGCAGCTTGTATACCCATCAACACATGACCGTATAAAGAAAATGTGGTGCCTCCGAAAATGTAGTACTACTCAGCCCTGAGCTGACGGCTCCTTCTCCCTGAAACAGACTCGCTTCGCGAGAGAAGCTGTTGAAACCTGGGGATGCACAGTGATGGTGATGGTGACAGCTGGTGACCTCAGAGTCCTCTACACAGACATGGCAGTGGAGAGGAGTGGCAGATGTGGAGGGCTGCACAGGCTGATGCTGTTGGTCCTGATATTCCATGACTGAGATTAACTAAGGGTCACTGAAAACATAGGGGCACAGTGTCAAAGAACCAGGAACTAAGACCACACAAGCAACAACTTCTAAGAGTCCCAAATACTAGCAATAAAGCACCCCCCCCATTGGCAATTTACAAGCATCTCCCTAGGAATTAAATGAAAAAAAGAAAAGGAATGAGAAGACACTTAAAACAAGATGCAACCCCAGACATATCGTACACCAAAGGCAACTCAAGGGGATAATGAGGTGGGAAAATCCAAAAGCACCCCATTAGGTCTCTCTAAGGTAGAAACAACAAAGATTGAATGTGGCTCTGAAAAAAATGAAATCAGAAATAATCTCTCTAATGACTACAGAGATTACCAAAATACACATCATGCTTACCAATGTTAGAGCAGACACAAACAAAAAGTAGATGAGCTTAAGCAAATTATGGAAGGGTAGCATAGAAATGAAATGAAATGGAATCCTTCAAGCAGATATCCAGGACAATAAAAATGACACTCAAAATATTCAAAGCAGGTTAGGTGAATGTGAGAACAGGATCTCAAATATTTAAGATAGGTTTGCAGTCAGTGACCAGGAAAAGAAAGATTTCTCAAAAATAGCAAGAGACCATGAGAAATCAATCCAGCAGCTGCTAGATGAGACAAAGAATAATTTAAGATTAATTGGAGTCAAGAACAAGCAGAAAATACCACAAATGATATTAAAAACATGTCCACAGATAGTGTGACAGAAAACTTTCCTGAGAAAAAGAATTTAACATTAAAATAAAAGAGGTATACAGAACCCCAATTAGCAAAGATCAAAAAAAAAAAACTTTTATCCAGGCATATCACAGTTAAGATTCCAAAAATTCAACCCAGGACTAGAATCCTAACTGCTGTTAGAGAAAAGAAACAAATCACCTGTAAAGGAAAGCCCATCAGAATTACAGCTGACTTCTCAACACAAAATCTCAAGTCAAGGAGAACTTGCAGTGAAGTACTCCAAGTTCTTCTAAAGGAAAACAACTTTAGCCCAGATTGAAGTAAACTGAAAAACTATCTTTCAAAATTCATGGAGAAATAAGATACTTCTATGACAAACAACATCTAAGCAACT